AAAAGTCAACTTGCTGGTCCCCTACTTCTATAGTGACCATCGGCTCCCCGGGGTCCAGCAAAACGAGAGCCTTGTCGGTTCATTTCTCTTCTTCTGCATCTTCCCATTCCTCTTCCGCTATTGTAGCCACTGCTGCTTCCCTCTTCTGGTGCAGGGTATAGCCTCCTCGGCCTCTTCTACGTCCTCTACCTCTTTCTCTATCTCTTTCTTGACCTCGTCTTTCGCCTCCTTCTTCTCCAGTCACCTTCTCTGTACATTCCTCATATGACGGAGGCGGTGGTAATGTCCGTTCCTGGTCCACGGGCCCTTGGGCGCCTTGAACCGCTGCTAGTGGGGGCGCATTGGGAATTACCGGCAATGGTAATGTCCGTCCCTGGTCCACGGGCCCTTGGGTGCCTTGAGCCACTGCTAGCGGGGGTGCATTGGGAGTTGCATATCGCTGCCCCCGGTAACTACATTCCTCCACCGGCTCTTCTTCCTGGGCAAGGACTTTAACCTTGACTTTCCTTCCTTTCTTCCTTATCATCATACACTGACCTTCTTTACACTTCTGGACCCAATCAGGATTTTGGGTCACCACGTTGTCCCAGGCATCAATATAAATATATTGATTCGGATGATGGTGAGCACAAAATTTTTCTACCTGCCTAATCTTCTTTAGGTCCCATGACCCTTCTGCAGGCCACCCAAAAGGAAAGGTGGGCCATTCTCCTGTGCACAGATTCCTTAATCTGTGGTCCTTAAGATCTCCTGGATCTTCCTGACTCGATGCAGCTACAAACTTATCAAAGTTGTCTAGCATACACTGAAGCGGAGTCACTGCCTTTGAGTTCCTCCCACCCATGGCCTCTAGTGGGGAGCAAACCTTGGCCTTCACACCCGGACACTCAACGGCGTGTTTCAGGAACCGCAAGGTTTGGAAGCGGAGTCACTGTCTTTGAGTTCCTCCCACCCATGGCCTCTAGTGGGGAGCAAACCTTGGCCTAGACGCCCGGACACTCGACGGCACGTTTTAGGAACCGCAAGGTTTGCCCTGTCCTCCCACTACCCCACGGGATACTTAGTGGTCCCCCTTTCCCCCAGCGCTGGTGTGTGTGTTACCTAGTGTCTTTACTTGACCACTTATACTTGCCGGATTGCTGTAGACGTCGGAACAACCTTCGCCCCCGGACTTTTCCTCCTCCTGGATCCTTTCTACCACTCCTCCACTCCCAGTTGATTTCTTGAGAACCCGAAGAGTTGCGATTTGTCTTGATCAAGCGCCACGGACAGAAGAGGGGAGTGTCGCAGCCGGTTATCAGTCGGGGGCCCCCTTTGTCTCGGCTCACGGCAATCGCCTCTCGCGCCCCCGATGCTGATCAAAAATCGTCTTGCCAACAAGATCTGTCTCCCCGGACTCTCGGCCTGTCTGAATAAATCTCGGTGGAACCTCCAAAAATGAAGCAGGCTTTTCTTCCCCTGAGCAATTGCTCAAAGGCTCAGCCAAAATTTCCAAACCGAGTCCGTATTGCAGGCGCAGATGAGTCAGGAAAGACAGCCAACTGAGTTCAGCAAGAATATCAAAGTTTATTATAGCAGCTGCTAGTTGGCTTTCGACGCAACAAGGCGTCTCTCGGGAAAGCCACCCAGCACAATGGGTTCGAGTTATTTTATACATCAAAAGGGGTTCGGCCTTAAGGGCCGCCCCAAAGATTAAATCATTGGTTAAAAGAGCTGTCAATATTATACATACGTTAAGCAATTAGATCATATACTTTTTAGGTTTCGTTTCTCAATAAGCAAGCTCTTTTTGGAAACATCACAAGATGCTGATATGCAAAATACAGCTGGGGACATCTGCTAATCTGGCAAGCTTAATTTAGCCTTGGCTAGTTCCTCTCTGTAAAGTCAGCATTTCTCTTGACCGAAAATTTACCTCTTCACAAAAAAACTCTTTGGCACCAAAAGCCTGTCTTTGTCTCCCATATGTGGTCAAGTCCATCCGTTCTCTTTTCTCTATGAAAACCTTGGCATTTTGTAAAACTATAGCTATATTTTCTGAAGAGCCTACAGAACAAAATTGAGGGGTATTTGCCATCACAACTATTAGGTCCATTGATCTGCAAAAATATGGGATCTGATCCTGCCTTAATACTACTTATCTGACTTGTTATCCACACCCTGATCCTTGTGTAAATTTACTTGGCTAGTGTTGCTACTGTTTTTCTTTATTCTTGTGGTTTGAACGGCAACGTGATTTTCCAAAATCTTACCCTTAAATCCATATGAAGTGGATGTAAAAGCAGTAAATTTTACTTGTGGAAGGGCGTGATACACATTCTCCACTACAATTACCCATAAACGTACTAATTTTCCAACTTATTGGAAAAACTCCCTGGGGCCCCTGCCAAACACTAGCATATAATTACCAGAATTTAAATCAAAGGCATAAACCCACATGCACATAATACTTGAATGTTTCAATGCAAATTTAGATCCAGATTTCCTTTTCTTTCTGAAAATGAACTTCAAGCAGTCTTCCCAAGAGCATCTTACAGCTCAGTCTTATTCATGTGCATTCAGAGGTCCCTTTCCATGGGCCCTTCCACACAACCATATAACCTAGAATATCAAGGCAGATAATCCACAATATCTGCTTTGAACTGGGTTATTTGAGTCCACACTGCCATATAACCCAGTTCAAAGCAGATAATGTGGGATTTTATATAGCTGTGTGGAGGGGACTAAGACAGGGTGAGAACCATGTGCTCAACCAGATTTTGTTGGCCTGAAATTCCCAGCAGCTCCAAGTGACATAGCCAGTAGTGTGGGTTGATGGCAGTTTAAGTGCAAGGATATTTAGAGAAATTAGCAATTCTCATACTTATTTTAAATCTTACAAATTAATGTTTTGTCTAGCCATGAGGGGACACTATTAGCAGATGGGATTTTTAGTAATGGTAAACTTTAATAGACCATGGCAACCTCACTCAATTTGAAGCAACAATCACATGAATGTGAACCTTCAAAATTGGAGGTCGGCATAGTGCTGAGGCAGCAATCTGTGAAGTAGATGTTAACCTGTGAAAGCTTAATCACTTTCATTTTTCAGATAGTCTCTGTTGCCATAATACCTTTTGCGTAGTCAGGTCAAATCAGCAAGTTGAGCATTACTTAGCAGAAATGCATGGGAAACATGCCATATTATAAGTTTTGGAATATTTGCGTATATATAATGAGGCATCTTGGACGCAAGTCTTTCACATGAAATTGATTTGTTGTCGAAGGGTTTCATGGCTGGAATCACTGGGTTGCTGTGAGTTCTCCGGGCTGTATGGTCATGTTCCAGATGCATTCTCTCCTGACATTTCATCCACATCTGACCACCTGCTGCAATGCACCCTGAGCCCTGCCACATGCACGATGGAGGACCTTCTTGCGGCAACACCAGAGGCACTCCAAGTGGCCAGATACTGGTCAAAGGACATTTAATCAGCTACCAAGCTTGCAAAATTTGTGTTTTTTTTAAATCTGTTTGTTTTGTTCTGTTAGAAATGTAATACAATGTTCTGGTTGCAGATGACACGATAAATAAATAAATAAATAAATATCCACATCTATGGCAGGCATCCTCTGAGGTTGTGAGGTTTGTTGGAAACAAGGCAAGTGGGGTTTATATGCCTGTGGGATGTCCAGGGTGGGAGGCAAGTGTGACTGCCGCAATTGATCACCTTGATTAGCACTGAATAGCCTTACATCTTCAAGGCCTGATGGATTATAAAGCAGTGTGTACTCAAATATTCTACTTCAAAGCAGATATTGTGGGTTATCTGCCCTGGGGTCAAACTGCATTCACTTTACAATGTAAAAGGCATCCTCTTAGAAGTTGACACATGTTAAGTAGAAGGTAGTGTGCTTTAATGGCATAGGGCAGTGTTTCTCAACCTGGGGGTTGGGACCCCTGGGGGTCGCGAGAGGGTGTCAGAGGGGCCACCAAAGACCATCAGAAAACACAGTATTTTCTGTTGGTCATGGAGATTCTGTGTGGGAAGTTTGGCCCAATTTTAGTTTGGGGTTCAGAATGCTCTTTGATTGTAGGTGAACTATAAATCCTAGCAACTACAACTTCCAAACTGAGTATTGAGTATTCGTGCCAAATTTGGTCCAGATCCATCATAGTTTGAGTCCACAGTGCTCTCTGGATGTAGGTGAACTACAACCCCCAAACTCAAGATCAATGCCCACCAAACCCTTCTAGTATTTTCTATTGATTATGGGAGTCCTGTATACAGTTCAATTCCATCGTTGGTTGAGTTCAGAATGCGCTTTGATTGTAAGTGAACTCTAAATCTCAGCAACTACAACTCCCAAATGACAAAATCAATCCCCTCCCAACCGCACCAGAATTCAAATTTGGATGTATCGGGTATTTGTGCCAAATTTGGTCCAGTGAATGAAAATACATCTTTCATATCAGGCATTTTAATGACAATTCATAACAGTACCAAATTACAGTTATGAAGCAGAAACGAAAATAATGTTATAGTTGGGTTGTTATAGGTTTTTCAGGTTATATCTATATTCTACAGCTATATAAACCATATATAAATATTCTAAAGATATATAAGCCCAGTTTTCCTAGTTTCCAACAGACCTTTGGATTGTTGTAGGTTTTTCGGGCTGTATGGCCATGTTCTAGAAGCATTCTCTCCTGAGGTCACAACCTCTGAGGATGCCTGCCATGGATGCAGGCAAAAGTCAGGAGAGAATGTTTCTAGAACATGGCCATTCAGCCCGAAAAACCTACAACAATCCCAAGCCTTCGACAATACAATGCTATGGTTGGGGGTCACCACAACATGACTGTATGAAGTGGTCGCAGCATTAGGCAGGTTGAGAACCACTGGCATAGGGAGTAATCCAACTCCTTCATGGGCAGGTGGAAAGGGGACTTCTTTGAAAGGGAGTTCCTTCCTCCCTCCTTCCCTCCCTCCCTCGTTCTCCCCTCTTGCCCGTCGAACCTGTAGCTGTAGTGGCAGAGGAAGAGCCCGAGGAGGATGCGGTTGGGCCAGGCTCCGAGCTGGGCGCCGTCGCTGCAGAGGACGAGGAGGACGGGGACGAGGCAGGAGGGCGACTCCTGGAGGATCCAGGCGGCGGTGGCGGGGATGGGGAGGCCGAAGTAGGGCGAGGAGTAGCGCCCGTAGGGCATCCCCACCGCGTTGCTCAGCGGCAGCATCAGCGCCAGGCCGCCCACCAGCCCCCAGCTCAGCCTCGCCAGCAGCCGCGCCTCCTCGGGCCCCGAGAGGCCCCGCCAGAACTCCGCGCTCAGCGCCGCCGCCACCAGCGAGCCCATGGCGACCCCGGAGCCGGCCTCGGCCTCTGCCCCCGCCGCCGGCCCGCTCGCGCTTTTCTTTCCCTCCGGGGGCGGGGAGGCGGCGCCAGCGTCGCCGGGAAGGGCGGGAGAGGTGCCCGCCTTCCCCCCGCGGAGAGTGCGAGGCGGCTGGCGTCACAGGACGGGCGTGAGGCCCTCGGGCCCGGAGGCAGGGAAGGAAAGAGGCCGGCCCGCCTGCCTGCCTGCCTCCCTCCCTCCCTCCCTCCCTCAGGCGCTGCCCGCTGGCAGGGAAACCAACAGCTGTCTTCTCTTTGTTACGAACGAGCGAGCCACGAGGCAGCCGCCCAATCAGGGGCCACACGCCCTGTCGCGCGCGCTTCTCTGATTGGCTCCCCCAACAACTCCCAACAGGACTGCCAAACTCATTTTCTTCGAGGGCCCCATCACCCTCCTCATGGGTGCCTGCAAAGGGTCCTTGAATGCACCCGCGGAGAATTCGTGGATACAGAAGGCCAGGCATGTAGGGGGGGGGGGGGGGGGGCTTGGGGGCTTCACCCCCACCCCCGAAATTCTCATGGTGGTCCGCGAGAAGGCCTTATTGGTGCATTATTTTAAACTGTTACGTTTATTCATATCATGATCTGATCACCAAACTCAATATAGCCCATATGCATGGGGATATAGGTGGGGTAACGATACAAAAGGTTTGCTAGGGTAGACCCTCTTTCCCTCAGACTTAGCCCCCCATCAAACCCAGCCCCCCCCCAATCAAAATCCTGGCTACGGGCCTGCAGAAGGCCAACTATATATGTCTTCTATATAAATAAAAATTTAATGTTCGTTTGTCAGATTAACATAACTCAAAAACTACTGGACGAATTGACACCAAGTTGAACATCTTTTTCTGTTTTATTGACTATTCTAAAGCCCTTTGACTGTGTGGATCATAATAAATTGTGGCAAGTTCTTGGTGATGGGCATACCAAGCCATCTTGTCTCTCTCCTGAGGAATCTGTACAAGGACCAAGTAGCAACAGTCAGAACTGACGGAACAACAGACTGGTTCAAGATTGGGAAAGGCGTATGGCAAGGCTGCATACTCTCACCCAACCTTTTTAACTTGTATGCAGAACACATCATGCGATGTGTGGGGCTTGATGAATGCAAAGCTGGGGTGAAAATTGCTGGAAGAAACATTAACAACCTCAGATATGCAGATGACACCACTCTGATGGCCGAAAGCGAGGAGGAGCTGAGGAGCCTTCTAATCAAGGTGAAAGAAGAAGGCGCAAAAGCCGGGTTGCAGCTAAACATCAAAAAAACCAAGATTATGGCAACAAGAATGATTGACAACTGGAAAATAGAGGGAGAAACCGTGGAGGCCGTGACAGACTTTGTATTTCTAGGTGCAAAGATTACTGCAGATGCAGACTGCAGCCAGGAAATCAGAAGTCGCTTACTTCTTGGGAGGAGAGCAATGTCCAATCTCGATAAAATAGTGAAGAGTAGAGACATCACACTGGCAACTAAGATCTGCATAGTTAAAGCGATGGTATTCCCCATAGTCACCTACGGATGTGAGAGCTGACCATAGGGAAGGCTGAGCGAAGGAAGATAGATGCTTTTGAATTGTTGTGTTGGAGGAAAGTTCTGAGAGTGCCTTGGACTGCGAGAAGATCCAACCAGTCCATCCTCCAGGAAATAAAGCCCGACTGCTCACTTGGAGGGAAGGATACTAGAGACAAAGTTGAAGTACTTTGGCCACATCATGAGGAGACAGCAAAGCCTAGAGAAGACAATTATGCTGGGGAAAGTGGAAGGTAAAAGGAAGAGGGGCCGACCAAGGGCAAGATGGATGGATGGCATCCTTGAAGGGACTGGACTGACCTTGAAGGAGACCCTGGGGGTGGTGACGGCTGACAAGGAGCTCTGGCGTGGGCTGGTCCATGAGGTCACGAAGAGTCGGAGACGACTGAACGAATGAACAACACAACACCTAACAACCCAATGAGTGCCTGGGGGAATTTTTTTGTTGAGAGGTGATTTGATGTGCCTGATTGTTTACTCTCTTTGTTTTGCTGTTGCACCGTCTGCCAAGAATCTGCGAACCCCACCTTCTCCAAGATGAACTGAACCACTGAACATGAACACGGGGGCAGTGATTCCAGCCATGAAAGCCTTCGACAATACATTATTATTATTATTATTATTATTATTCAGAGGCTGGATGGCCATCTGTTGGGGGAGTTTTGATGGTTTCTACACTATGGTTTTTGTTCCTGGGTTATAAATGTCATTTCCTAATTGGTTCTATCATATAAAAAAAACATGGTGAAAGTTTATTAAACTGAAAAAAACTCTGCATGAGAAACTTCGTATTATAGCTCATTTTGCTATCCAGTCCACCAATTTAACATCATCATTTACCCATTTAACAAAGTATTTGGTGGAAAAACTAAGTTCCCGGTGTAGAACCACTACTTTCAAAGTAAAGACTACACAATTAAACTGTAAATATTACTTTCAAAGTAGGAACATATTTTCTTTATTATTAAAAAAAAGTTGTCTATAAAAATGTTGAAAATTCCCCAAAATCCACGGAGAAATCAAATGTTCTGAAATTTGGTGGTCTAAGAGTGATAAATGTAGTGAGTGGTAACTATACCATTGTAGTGAGTTTGACCCCCAATAGCTGTAAAAATGAGGGAGAAAGGAGCCCCCAAAGTTTCCCCAATTATAGTAATTATGCATAATAATAACAAAATTTCATTACTCACGTTATAGTAACAATTTTTCAATAGCTATTATTATTATTATTATTATTATTATTATTATTATTTACATAATTTTTACCCCGCTCTTCTCACCCCCGCAGGAGGACTCAGAGCAGCTAACTATACTTTAGAAACAACTTTAGAAATTAAACGTCAGCGCGCCCAGTTTTGTAATGACTTGAACCATTTTTAATGGTTTGCACATCCCTAATGTTGAAGGGTGGACTCAAAAATACCTGAACAACTCAAGGCTAAGGTCTATACTACAGTTGTTCACCCAGCAGCCCTCTACAGGGCAGAGTGTTAGCCAGCAACAAAGAAACATGAACAAGCTCTTAACGCAATGGAAATGGAAATGCTGAGATGGACACTTGTCTTGACAATTCTTCACCATGTGCCAAATGATGCCATCTGTCAATGACTAGGAATAAAAATCAATCAGAAAGAAGATGCAGGAAGCAAGACTACAGTTGTATGGCCATGTCATGAGAAGAGAACCAACATCAGTAGCACAAACAGCACTACATTTGGAGATTGCAAGTTGATGACTCCATGGATGCCTAAGAAAAGATGGATCGACCCCATCAACAAAGAAATGCGTGCTGTGAACCTGAGACCCGAGAATGCCTAAAACAGCCCTGTGAAAACAACAGTCATTATGCTAACTCTACCAATGGGAAAATAGCTTAGAAAGAAAAAGTGGTCAATGGTTGGTTCTGGGTTGCTAGTCAAATCGAATTACTGTGTCGTGAAATGATGTGCTTTCCCTTTAGCTACCTGTGTGTCTGTGCCTTCAGTTTTTGACAGTCCGATCAGCTGTTTTGAGTTTTTAAAACACACATGTACACACGTGCTGTAGTATGAGTGACCCAAAGTGTCCTTCCTTCTTATCTATGCATTCTGACCTCACTATGATATAAACTATAATTAAGTGATGTTTTTCCAGCTTTTCTCTTCCTGCTAGGCTTCTCAGCTCTGTCCTAGAAGGAAGCTAAATTAGAATAGCACCTTGAGTAACATTCTTATCTTAAAATCAAGGTCCTTTGATAAAGCCTTTTGTTTGTTTTCCAAGGGTTTGCTCATTAATTGTGATCTCTAATCTCTTAATGCGCTTGCTAAAGTCTTCTCTCCTGAACAAATATGTGTCCCACAGGTTTCAGAGTAGAAAGAGACAACACAATTGCTTTATGTCTCTACTAGCTGTCCCCTGCGACACGTTGCTGTGGCCCAGTCTGGTGATTTGGAAAATAAGTAATGAGAAAGTGTTGGTTTCTAATACATGTAATTTCTTTATGCTTGTTGGTAAACAGTATTTCTTACTGTTTCTTTTTCAGTGTTGATGTGGAGAGTGTCTGATTTGCCTACTCTGGAACATGCAACATATAATTGCCCTTCTTTAGGGGTCCCTTTCAAATCTATGATACTATGTGTGTGTGTGGATCATATATCTATATCTATATCTATATCTATATCTATGGCAGGATGGCTCTTTGTCAGGAGGGCTTTGATGACGTTTTCTTGCCCTGGTGAAGGGAGTTGGACTGGATGGCCTTGAGTATTTTCCATTGGTCATGGGGGTTCCGTGTGGGAAGTTTGACCCCATTCTGTCGTTGGTGGGGTTCAGAACACTCTTTGATAGGTGAACTATAAATCCCAGAAACTACAACTCCCAAATGTCAAGGTCTGTTTCTCCCAAACTCCATCTGTGTTCATATTTGGGCATATGGAATATTCATGCCAAGTTTGGTCCAGATCCATCATTGAGTCCATGGTAGTCTCTGGATTTAAGTGAACTACAACTCCCAAACTCAAGGTCAATGCTCACCAAACCCTTCTAGTGTTTTCTGTTAGTCATGGAAGTCCTGTATGCCCCGGTTGGTTCAATTCTATCATGCTATTTGATTGTAGGTGAACTATAAATCCAGCAACTACAACTCCCTGTCTGTCTGTCTATCTATCTATATCTATGGCTGGATGGCTCTTTGTCAGGAGGACTTTGATTATGTTTTCTTGCCCTGATGAAGGGAGTTGGATTGGATGGCCTTAAGTATTTTCTGTTGGTCATGGGGGTTCTGTGTGGGAAGTTTGCCCCGATTCTGTCATTCGTAGGGTTCACAATGCTCTTTGATTGTAGATGAACTGTGAATCCCAGTGATTACAACTCCCAAATGTCAAGGTCTATTTCCCCCAAACTCCATCTGTGTTTATATTTGGGCGTATTGAGTGGTTGTGCCATTTTTGGTCCAGATCTATCATTGTTTGAGTCCACAGTGCTCTCTGGATGAAGGTGAACTACAATTCCAAAACTCAAGGTCAATGCCCACCAAACCCTTTCAGTATTTTCTGTTGGTCATGGGAGTTCTCTGTACCAAGTTTGGTTCAATTCCATTCTTGATGGAGTTCAGAATGCTCTTTGATTGCCGGTGAACTATAACTCTCAGCAACTACAACTCCCAAATGACAAAATCA